AAGGAGCGAAAAGTTGGGAAAAACTAAAAGGAAATAAAAAAGATTTTACTTTCTTGGCATTCCCCCAGTGCTTCAAGCTTCGGTCTGCAGCAAAAAGAAAATATTCAGAAAAGCAATTTTTGCCTGAAGATTTTTCAAAATTACTTTAGATGACTACGAAATTCAGTTTGAAAGAAGGAAATTGTAATTTTAGCAAATTTAGCAAATGATGACCGGCAGTGAAAAAAATCGAATGTAGCACCACGCTCAATGAAAAAATAGCATCAACGAGAGCGATAAGTACACAACTGGCTGACGACATCTGATTGTCAGGTGATAAGAAAAACCCCGTAGACGGTGGGGAACAGGTACAACAGCACTCAACTATGACGGCCAAAGGAAAGCGCAGAAAGAAAAGCGCAGGTCTTTATAATAACGAGTATCCCCTTTTCTCCTCCCCTCTAACTTACAACCAGCTGTAGGGAAAAGTAAACCGTGTAGATAGAAGGAAAGAATTTTAAAAATAAAGCATAAAATGATAAAGTTTTTGGACGTTGATCAATCGCGTCTAGGGAATGCGCCCCGCACACGACTTCCATTCGTTGTGGCGTATTGTATGCGTATGTGCCCTAAACAATGACCTGCGGTGGCCAGCCGATGTAGAAATCAACGCTTTTATCTTCCCAGACCAGTCCGGGACCAACTAACCGACCCCGAAGGGAGACGGATGGTCCCGGCGGATATCGATACGAGATTCGAACCTGTGACCATGAGTGTGATTGTTCGCCATTTGCTCCTACACCATCTCCCTCTATTTTGAATGTAAAGCAGCAAAGCGTAGAGCTCGAAAGATTCCTATCTCTCCTGATAGCTAAGAATAGGAATGTACTGATTTGTTCTGGAGGATGGAGAAGCAGAATCACCCTGCTTGGCCTGTAGCATCGGCTCTTGCTTGAACAATCTATGCCTCTCTCATGAAGGGAAAATGAAACAATCCTCGAAATGAAAGCTTTTGCACTTTGAGCGCCATCAAGCAAACACGAGGAATTTCGCAACAGAAATGCCGAATTCAGTACATTCTGATTGGCCTTTCGATGAGGGTTCGATTGAGAATCGGCCTTGCCAATGGATAGGGTTTCCATGTCAAAGCACTACAAAAAGCACTATAAATCCTACTTCAGAATTTTTTTGAGCTGAGTAACTACTTCAAGGCGCAATAAAAAATGTATTTGGTGGAAAACGTAAATGTGGAGGAGTTTCTTTACGTGCAGTGCAATTTTCGACAAAGCCACTGGACGGCTTCACGTAGGGGGCACGGAAAAGGGGTCGGCATATTAAGGAGTAGGACTAGAATGAAAAACTGTCTTGAAAAAGTTTTTCCCAATTGTTTCTGCTCAATCCAATTTCTGACAGAACCTTTGTTTTGAATGGAGCCTAACAAGCAAGAATCCCTTGTCTTCCTTGTACATGTGAATGATTCTACACTAAGAGAGAGTGAGGTAGCTGTCCAAGCGTTCAATCAACCTTCTTACTTTGACAGCTGAGCATTCTAGGGTATTCGTTCGACCCGCCAAAGCTTTCGAAACGGGGCGGGGGGGGGGGGGTCATTGGAACGATGTAAGTTGTAGGGTTGACGTAGGAATCTTATGAAAAATTCCCAAGAAAGGCTGGAAAGAATCAAGAAAAACACCTACAACAAGTACAGCTTGAATAATTGCCAAGTCTTCAAGAACTGGTAACAATTCACTTACGCTACTAACTAATCCGGTTTTTTTTGTTTGGTTTTGCTTACATAGTTGGGCGAAAACAGGGTAGTGTGAAATGCCGTATTGTCCCGCTATGGTCCTGGGATCAAATCCTGATCCAATACCCGACCGAATCAAAGAAATCTTTCATTTTTTTGGAATCGGCTAAGTTGTATCAAACTCGTTTGAGAAGATAGCCGTGCCATGGCCAAGTCGACAAGCCGTCGCACACCTCAATTCCGGGTGGTGTTCAACACAGGCGGAAAAAAACTTTTTTAATTTTAATGATAGCAGAGATATTATATGATTACAGTGTCGTAGTCCTATTTTATAGTGGAAAAAGGGCTCGTTGTTCTTCTCCGATACTATTTGGTTCTAGCTCTAGTCCTGAAGTAACTCTGCA